AAAAAAAAGGACAGACCCTATCAACACTCAAGGAAACAATGAGAGGAAGAGCGTAAGTGAACTCTTCCGTATTCCACTCTTCCGTAAGCATTAGTGAACAAATCAGCGTCTCTGCTTCCGAAAGCGTTCAAACTAGGAGCGGAGTGGGGGATGCGAAGGGTGGAAGATGGAGAGGAAGAGCGTTGCCTAGGGGTCTTAATCAGGAATTGCAGCAAGGCTCAACCTACCGGTGGAAGATGGAACAAATTGAGGCCACAACACAAGGACTTCAACAAGGAATTGCAGCAAGGCTCAACCTACGGGACCAGCCAGCCAGAAATCTCAGAACTGATAGGCAAGATCCCTCTCTCAGAACTGATAGGCAAGATCCCTCTCAGGGAACTGAGCATAGAGCCCCTGGCTTGGTGCTGGAACAAGGGAACAGCTGGAGTCTCAGAAAAAAAACCATCAAAAATTACACAGTGAGAAGAGGCTACGAGTTGGAAAAGGCAGTCGGGAAACCGTCAGCAGCCACAGCAGCTAACAGGCAAGACACTGCTGCGGACAGACTCACCGAATGTGGAAAACTGTCCAGTCGGCTGTCGTACACACACAAGTATTTCCCAAATGGCAAACAAGTACTCATCATTCTCTGGCAACCATCTCTTCTGCTCTCCAGGCACCTCTGGTGGGAATGTGCTGCTGCCAAACGGATTTGGAAATGCTGGAAGTATCACTGGGGGAAAATGGGGGGCTTCAGCAGTGCACTGGGAAAAAGAACACTGGGTCCTACTGGGCTCCCGTTTCCTCCTGCTGGTGACTAAGCCAAAAGGAGGGTCGGAGTAAAGCTCGCATGGTCAGAGGGATACTGTGTGAAGTGATTTGGACAGACCGGAAACGGGCAAGGCTCCACAACAGACCTTTATCTGAGGTTGAGAGCAAAAGCAAAGTGAAATTGAGACTGCAACAGGCAGCCAAAGCTGATCGGAGGCATAAGAGATGATCTACCAGGCACGGGCAGCAGAAAGCAACTCAAACGGTTCTCAAGGAGGTGGGAGCTTGCAGAGATCAGCTGGCAGTGATTCGAACCGAACAGGATCAGCTTGTAGCTGCGAAAGACGGTGGTGATTCGGTGAGGTCTCGAGTTCAAACGAAGACACCACAAAGGGCACTCGGTTTTGTACGGGTCCCAGTGGGCTGCCAGACAAGTACCACCAAGGGCCATGATACGCGGACTTAGTCCACAGGGCCGAGATTAGTCCCACGGGCCACGTTAGGCAAAGTAGCTATAGAAGAAAACAAGTAGGGTTGCAGGTAGATATGAATAATTGTTGTTATAATTCTTGGTTGATCTGGTCTAGCATTACATTTGACAGCTATGATAGGTATTCGTTTGTTTGGACACCATAAAGCGAAACTGGTTAATGCTGCCGGGATAACCCCGGGTTGAATTCAAAGGTCCCGGCCTCGGCTCCATTTCGATATTAATATTTTTTGAATTGTTAGGAAAAAAAAGACCTGTTTTGTCCTCTCGACCCTCGGACACTGCTGTCTGTCAGAGCAAATTTTCTTTTCTCAACACAGCAAAAAAACAAATTGGGCCCACTTTGCCCTTTCGCCCCTCTCTCACACCACGGTGTGTCAGAGCAGACTTCAACTTTTTTTTCTTATTCGACACGTCACGACAGTCCGACACCACCGTGCGTAAGAGCGCTCTGACAGCTCACAACGTCGAAATATTTTTTTTTACAAAAACGCTTTCAGACTGTTTTTCTTTCTTTCACGCACGCAGCCCCAAACCTGACCGCATTCACAACCAACTAGTGACAATTGTGTGAGCGCTCCACGATCGTCGTAGTCCGTGACATGTCCTGACAAATTCCCAACCAATCCCAGAGCACCTCTGACACTCCGGCACATCATGACCCACAAACACTTTCCGATTGTTTTCCTTTTTCCTTCTGCATTCAACCGCGAACACGACCGCATTCATCCCCGAACACTCAATTCGTGTGAACGCGCTTCAGACACTTTCTCAACAACGTCTGACACTCCCGCAAGCTCGGACACTTTCTGAAATTCTCAGTAAGCTCTTTATACGTTCACTGGCCGATTTCTCGAACGGCGAGACTATACACATGTCCACCGACCGCACAACCAAGCGTCGACAGAAGAAAGCGTTACAGGACAGATAATGACGGTTCATTTCCGCGATCGGAGGATTCTCATTGGCCAGTACAGGGTGTGCCAGCGCCCGCAGCTGATTAACTTCAAGAAGGGGGAAGATAGAAAAGGCCTGAGAGACCATCCTGTCCAGATTTGAGAGGTAATTCATTTTTTAATTCTTTGTTAACAAAAACTCCCTTCATTCCAAGACAAAACAGATGAACCGAGGCCGGGGACCTCAGACTTCGACCAAGAATTATCTGGGAGTGTGACCCTGTTTCGCTTACACTGGCCGATGCCATCTCTTTCCCTGCTTCGGCCTCTTATTGACTAAACTACACTATTCTATTCCTTAGTCACAGATATGGGACGGCCTGACACCGGCCTTTGGCGGTCGATTGGAACCTACTCTGTCCGCATGCGGATGTGAACAAACCCCGGCCCTTTCTGCTTCTCCCTCTTTTGGCCTTCCGTCTCCAGTGCTCCGGGATTTCCTCTTGCAGAGTTCGTTGAGCACGCCCTCTGTCTGTACCTCCGGCAAGCCCTTGCCCTCGAACAAGGTCATTCCCGTCCGCCCAGATGGCCCACAACATGCCCGCCCTGCATACCTGCACCGCATATCCTCCCCACCCTCTGTCTGCTGCTATTGTTCACATCAGCACCCGCCCTCCAATCGCCAAATCTGTCCTCGTGCACCATTCATTCCAATGCGCAAACCACCACCCCGACCATTTCTTGGACTTCAGCACCACCAAAGACGGTGTAAGATCGCGAAGCCACAATTGCAGCCCTCACAAGCCTCCATCCCCCTGCGTCTCAGCCATCTGGCTACAGGTACCCCCTGGTGTCACTGAAGCCAGAGTGGGGATGCTGGTTTTCAGGACCGGATCCTCGTCAGTCATTGCCATAGCGACAGCAGTTCCCAAAACAGGCTGGTGAGCGTAATCAATTTGGCTGGACTCAAAAATTAGCCTCACCGAGGGAAAAAACAAAAACGAAAAAGAGAGGAGGTGCACGCACTGCACGGCGAAACAGGCTTCTGCCTTTCGTTTCTGGAGACCTGTTTCCAGAGACGAGGCAGGTGCCTGTTTCAAGCAGTTCCCGCTTTTTATTTTTCGCTGCCTGCAATTTTTTTACCTTGTTTTTGCTCTTTTGCCTCTTGTCTCCACCGTACCTCTCTCCTTCCACATTCGCGGACAAACTGCAGTCCGTTTGCAGGGCCCCTTGGGACCACTGGCTCCCCTGTTTCAGTACCGGGCCTTCCCTAAGCCCCAACATTCAGGGTAGGCGGTGAATCATTTCTCCACAAGGCTTTGGAGGGTACTGGGGATTTAAGGATAGGAGGGGATCAGGGATCACATACACTGGCGAAACAGGCTGGCAAAGCCACCTGGCCATACGCACGCATGCATAAAGCACACCTGCCTACCCGCACACACGTATGTGATGGTTCGAAGCCAAGCACAGACGCAGAGTGTACCAACTGCTACATGGTTGCTGCCGGGGTTTTAAACCACCAGTACCTCGCTCAGCTATTGAATCCGAGCTTCCCAGCACACTGCGCGCCAAGTCCTGCCAAACCGCCGTCGCAATTTTCTTTTTCGTTTTGCCTGCGGCCTCCAGCCAATGCGGTCCGGCAGGCCAAAGCCCAAATGGCGCGGCGCGTATACGGGAAGCGCCGCGGCCGATAGCTGGGCCAGGTACTGGTGGTTTAAGAGATCTGGAGCTACCAACTCTGTGTTAGACACACAGCTGTGATTCATTGGGAGGAATGACACTAACATGGAAGCAGAGCGGCGGTGCATTGTCGCAATTTACGCCATCCCATAGCCACTGCAGTGGGCCGCTTTCTATCATATGGGATAGATGTGAATGGAGGGCGTGGTTAGGATGCATGTCGTCCTTCAGCCACTCTCACATACGAAATCCTTCCCGCAGCCAACCCTGACAACAGCTCACAGGACTGCATTGCCCAAGCGAGCCTTGTACGCTGCAGATCCCAAATCCCATGATTTTTTTCTTGGACTCCTGAAAAAAGCGATACTCGATGTTAATTCCAGAAGAAAAAAAAAGAGTCCCACGATACAGACAATGCACCTCCGCATTCCATTCTCATTCATCGAACACCTACACATTCCCATCTCCCTTCATCGAGCATGGTCGCTTTACTGACAGCACTTATACATCTCCTTGTCCATTTTCACCGACCGTGGCGACTTTTGCAATCGGCAATGACAGGACTACTGCAGTAGCAAAGTCAATGTTTTGTACAGTCACCCATTTTCAGTCATAGCTCTCATGTCTTTATTCTCATCTCTGTGTACGACAACAGTGCAAACAGAGCATGCGCATTGTTAGTCAGCAATCGATCCGCGCCATTGATTTTCTGTTATCTCGTTCGATATGTTCCACCTTCACCAATCTTATCTGAACAAGCCTGCAATTTCCTCTGTGCTTCCACTCAACCCAGAGTGGGAGATGAGATTGCATGCACACTGCACCGTCAGCTAATGCTCTGTACGTTCAGTTGCCCTAGTAATCACGAACAAGCTGGGGATCGAATGTTTCTTCTTCTTCTCAATCTGTTAACATTGTTTCCACATCATCACAAACTGCCCGTACCAGGTACCCATCACATTCTCTTTCGGTTATCTTTATTGTTGCCATACGAACAAGCCAGGTCGTACAATTACACACCCCCCCGCCCCCAATCCCAAAAACAGACCATAATTGTTCATGCAAAGAGTAGACGACTACATATGAAGCCAGTGCACCACGGACTCGTCATCAACACCAGCATAGGAGATTGTGATGAGAAGGAACAAAGAATTCCTACAAAGCTGTACATTTTTTTATCAGTCTTCGCCAATTCATTGGTTACTCGAGAATGACAACGAGTGAGTCCCGCAAGCGAAACCCCACACAGTCTAATGTCAGGCATTTCCTTCCTGCATCAGCATTTTGTTTCCAGACAGTACGGAAAGGTTAATCATCCGCACGGGTCGAGCTGTTGAAACAGGATTTTCATCCGGAACCAAAACTGCTGTCAAATACAGATCAAGTCACTAGTCTAAAAGGGCTAGCTCGATTTGTTACGAACTGACATGGAAATCCTCACACCCAAAAGCACAACAGCACCACTTCCCCCTCCGCCCCCCATCCCCCCAACCACCGACCTCGGCTCCCTCGTCAAAACCACCAGCTCACAGAGGTCCAGGAGGGTTGGCCAAATACAAATTGGTGTCTCCACCCTCATGCTCACACGCACTTCCACCCACCACTCTCTGTACGAACAGCACAACCATTTTGCGCTGTGCGCCCCTAACATGCACTCACTCGCACGAATGGGAAAAGTGTCACTTGCATATTTACCCTCCTGCGGTTGCCAATCATCTACCTCAGGCCACTCCAAACTAACACAGAGAGAGCCCAATTACATGCAAAATGAATGCAGGCAAAACCCTCCGCAATTTATTCAAATAGGAATATATCAGCTTTCCCCCAGGTGAGACCTGCCTGAAGATTACTAATAACGGCATTTCATAAAACTCCTGACAACGAAGTAAAAATAGATCTACATTGGAAGAGAAGAACCAGAACTCATCTCGAGTCTGTTCGTCCAAGTCTCACACACAACAAATAACTGCACGTTTGTGCCCAATCGGTCTCATGCTTCCGTTGGTCCTACATGCAGATCGTCCCTCTACACTGCAGAGGCCATGCGGACAATACCAACCTGCGGAAGGAGGACTTCCTCAAAGAGCGGCAAAGACTGACAGCAGCAGCGGCATGGATCCCATCGCATCATCATCATCTGTACAATGCTGTTGGTGGCAGCCAAGCAAGAAATAGTACTCTCTAACATCACAGAGAGCCCAAGTGTCTTCAGGTGGCCCGAAGAAGAACCACCACTGCACTTGGCCAATACATACAAACTGAGCTCTGTAAACGCCACTTGGTTTCGGGAAACTGAATAGCGCAAGTGCTAGTGTCAAAGACGGAACACAGGGCCGGCCGCAAATCCGGATTGCAACGCAGCAATGACATTCGGGCAACAACAACAACTCAGGTCAGACGGCACACCAAGAAGTACACACACGAATGGTGTATTCAGTGACAGAATCCGAGAAGCAATCCTGCATGTGGTCCATTGGAAACCATAGGCAAGGAACTCACCCCAGCATTGCCCCAGGTTCTCATCCTTGCCTCGGATATAGCAAAGAATAAAAAGCATATGCAGAACTCAGCGACAAAGCACAGCCGTCAGCAATAGTGAGGATGGAACCAACCCGGCTTTGCGCTGTGGCCCCCAGTAAGCACAAGCGGTGTGAACTGCAAATCAGCAACAGACGCCCAGCAGCTGTCCTGCGCATGAGGCTCTCCCTTAGAAAACATCTGGATGGAACCGACCAGGCATTGCGTTGTGCTCCTGGGCCTTCCGGAGATGCATCGACAGTGTGTAGTTGCTAATCTGGAAAAACATGCAAACCATTCAATGAAAGAAAGACAAACACCCATCATCAATGTAAGCCTCTTCTTGGCCGAGAGAGCGAGAGCTTGCTGCTCTGATGACCAGCGTGGTCATAATTATAATATCATACTGTTCTTTTGTTGCTATCTAACCATCCACCCACATCTGCATTGGCAGATGCTGCTATTTGCATGCCTTCACCATTTCGCATTGCTGAAACGAAGGAAATAGAAAACCACACATCCAGTTTTCCGTCCCCTGTTTAATGCCATTCCCGTCTTGCATGCCTCGAATCTGGAGTTGATATCATATTTATCATTCTCCTCTCTGGAGTCCCACGTCAACATTATGCATCCCAGAGCATTCCACTGTGGGTGCATCACGCATTACGGTCGACCAGCCTCAGTGTAGAGCTTTTCAACATAATCAATCAGATGGGGAACTGTTTCCAGACTGTCCTTCATTAGTTCGGCCATAATGTTTTTCATGTACACGGCAGCATTCGCATCAGAGTCCAGACCTGAAAGGAGAACATGCACACACCAAAATCCAGCAGCAGAACGCACAAATTGCCATAAAATCCACAAAGTTTCGTGCATGTTTTCCTCACTTCTGCTGCTGTCACTCACACAGCCAGAGCGAATCAGTGTCCGAAGACTTACATGCAAAACACAGCTACGAGAAGCAGAGAGAATTACCAGTTAAAACTCCATGGGGGCCAGGGGGGAATGTGTGTGTGCGTGTGTGTGTGTGTACTTAAATGCAAAACACAGCTACGAGAAGCAGAGAGTACTACCAGTTAAAACTCCATGGGGCCAGGGGGGGAATGTGTGTGTGTGTGCGTGTGTGTGTGTGTGTGTGTGTGTGTGTGTGTGTGTGTGNGTGTGTGTGTGTGTGTGTGTGTGTGTGTGTGTGTGTTTCGGATTCTAGCCACGACAGCCCCTAATCCACCCAGATGAGCAAAACCAAAAGCGAAAGCAGCTTTAGTCCACGATTGCAGACAAGTTGAGACAACCAAGCACACTCGAGTTGAGACATTCCAACCTCTATAGCAAGTACCATGGAGCACAACAAATCCGTTGAGACCCCTTTTTCAATGTTTACTTTGGCTTTCTGTGAGGTGCCTCTTTCATTTGTTCATGCAGCTCCCCTTTACTATGCGTCTCACATTTAAGGCTGACAACGTTGATTGAGGTAGCTGCCCAAACCCCCATGTGCCTCGAAGCACAATTGCATGTCATGAAAGGAGGCAGAGTAAAAGGGGAGGTATACTCCAGTTCATTTTTCTCCAAATCTTCAGCTTATATTTAGCCTGGTCTCTTAATGATGCCCACTCGTTTACATTTACTAGAAGTACACAAGGAGAAAGAGTGCTCGAATTTTACAACGATAAGGACGATTGGTTCCGTTGCTAACTAAATATCCTTTGGGTGCTTCTACACAGGTGTACGTAGAAGAAGCTGGTACAGACACACCCTCCGTGTAAAGCTTAAAGTGATGAATTAAGGATTGAGGCAGACTTCTATAAGGAGTGAGAGGCAGGCGAGGGAAAGGGTTAGGGGAGAGAGTGGAGTGGCAAAGGACAGAACAGAGATATGACGAACTTCACAGGGTTCTTAATACTCACCCCTGGAGCAATCTACTTTAGAATGGCACATGGCACCAGTCAGTGTTTGAGTTGCAGAAGATTTCAAGTTGGGGAGCAGCTGTTATCCTATTGCCTATGGGAAGTGATCACCCCTGGTCTGTGGTCACCCGTACAAACTGGACAGGAGGACCCGTTCAGGGGTGCGGAAGCACCACATCCAAGTCTCGGAATCCGAATTTCTCCCACGTGTGGACTGTGGAAGCGCCACACCCAATTCTCACAATCGCAATCGCTGCATCGAATAGCACAGGGCAGACAGATGTCACAGGCCACGTGGTGGCTCCCACATGCAAGGGTCAAAGGCTGCTAGGTGCATAGAAGCACACCAACCGCAATTGTACGGGCATTGCCGTTCCAGCCCGTCTACAAATTGGACATGACATGTCAGGGTGCCATACATGAGTGCTGTACTGATTGCCATTAGACGTATGAAGACAAACCTCGCATGGGCTATCCCTTCATAATCCTCATGGCAAAAGGCATGCGAACCACATGCTAGCCGAATCTCATGTGGGTCATCACAGCTCGGCATTGAGCAGGATTCTTGGGTTTCCCCAGTATTTATTCCCTCTCTATGGGCAGACGACAACGGGGATTGGTCCAAGGCAAGGGTGTTTAGCTGCTGCAGGATGTGGTCTCACGCTGGCGGTCATACACTTTCAGTACAGCGCTCTATATGTGGTTCACATTTGAGTCTATTTTCGACCTCGGGCTGCTGGCCTGCCGTTCGTCTGGCAAGGAAGAAAGTCCTAGTTGCAGTTGGTGTACACCCACCACTGCACAACAGATCGATCAAACGCAAGGGTGTTTAGCGGCTGCAGAATGTGGTCCGCAACAGCACACCCTGGTGGCGATAACCTTTCAGTACAGCACGCTGAACATATGATATTATTGAAGTATATTTTCCAACTCTCTGCTGGCCTGTCGTTCATCTGGCAAGTAAGAACTGTGATTGCAGTACACTACATGTGGTGCATACTAGGAGAGGAGGAGGGCATCGGGGATAGTCCATGCAGCAGAGACAATACTTTCTATGACCGGCTTCCTGGATACATTGACAACACATGGCATGTTGCAGACATGTCAGCAGGAAAGCAGGCTGACATTCGCAGCTCTTTAAGCATGGCAGATCAAGGCCACGACGGCATGCTGGTTAAGTAATTAGGGGTTGGGAGGACAAGACAATGGGTCCCAGTTTTCGCGGCAGAGGCTGGCAGTGACCATCCCTTCACAGTACTTGGAGCAGAGGCTATGCCATGTGCATGCTAATCAAAGTGTAGCTGTGTGACAACACAATGGGAGAGCACAGCCACCATCATCTTGAGAGGTCCCTTCTCCTGTCCGCAGTAGAATCCGTCTGATCTACATAGGAAGGAGAGGTTCAGCCAGAGTGCCTTCTCCTGTCCGCGGTAGAATCCGTCTGATCTACATAGGAAGGAGAGGTTCAGCCAGAGTGCTCTCCGGAGTCGGCTGTAGTGCTTGCGAGTGCACAGCAACATACTGTTCCCGATGGACAAGCCAGATCAAGTGAGAATCTACAGCTTGGTGATAGAGAATTAATACTTCCCACCGCATGCACCCTTCCGTCATTGTCCCATACAGTCCATGAATTATCCGCACAGGTTACAGCACTGAAAGGACCTGCATGATGCAGGATGTATGATTCTGTGCTTTGGATCCATGCCTGGCATGTGATTCTGGGCTTTGGATCCATGCCTGGCATGTGATTCTGTGCTTTGGATCCATGCCTGGCATGTGATTCCGTGCAGAAGGCTGGAGTTGCATTATTCTTCCCATGAATGCCTGGACAGGACAGGACCTCTACCTTCATGCCAGGTGCAGTACTGCGCCCTCTCGGCCCACAGCACGGTGCGGACAATGCCGGTCAAATAAAAAAACGTGTAAGGGTTGCAATTGCAAGCGAGGAGAGGAGCAGGGGTTCTTTCAATTCTGCAGATTGCATGGCAGGGAGAGATTCATTGTGGTCGTGACTGTTTCTGTCGGCTTACTCTGGCTGTGTCCATTGGGTCTAACACACTCCGGAGAGGGATCATCTCCACGTGGGGGCTCCATCAAGCGACCAGAAAGGTGGATCATTGTCAATTGGGCATGGGAGCAAGCCGGGCTAGGTGGATGATAACTGGGTGGGTCAGATGCAGGAAGCAGAAGCTGATGCTGCACAGGTGGCCGCATCCCCTGTCCGGTGCACATGCAGCCCTGCAGCACTTGCCACATTGTCGACATACTCTATCACTATTCCTGCCTTGTGTATATTGAGAGAGGACGCCGTTCCGCATGGTTGCCAGATATGAGTCCCATGAACGGAGAATGGGCGGAATTAAACGCTGCTCAACCCGGTTAACGCCGAGCACCCCCTTTGAATCCCGTTTAACGGAAAACGGGGGTGTCCCGGTTGATTTCCGAAAAACGGAATAGGTGCGTCGGGCCTCAAAAATGGCCCGATGCGCCCAAACACTAAAAACGGAAAAAAAAACAAAACAAAACAATTGACCCCTATTAACAGGGTGGGGTGGCCAAACATGTCCCTCCCTTTCGAACACTGTGAGCACATGTGTGTGCTTGTGGGTGCATGTCTTTTTTTTGTTTTACCAAATGCTCCAATCTATTCGTCCAGTCTCATTTCCGAAGGGGCCCTACATATTAGCAAGGACCCCTCGTGGAGTAGAGATGGACATTGGACTTGTAATCCGTCTGCGTGGGCCGAGAATATAGACTCTGGATTCGAATTCAGGTCTGTGCATCACACCGATCACAGTTATGGGTCTCTAATTCTCTGTTTTTTTGCTTTTCTTTTGTTTCTCGTTTTTCTTTTGTTTTCTGGTTTTGTTTTGTTTTTCATTTTTCTTTGTTTTCTCGCTTTTCTTTTCTTAGGAATACGTGCAGTGGCCCTAAGGACCTCTACTTACCACATGCACAAACGGCAAAACATATGGCGGCGTATTATTCCACGTTCTTTTTTTTTCTTTTTTCTTTAAAAAAAAAAAAAACGGGCCTTATGGACCTGGCTCCTTCTATTCTGGGGAGCGTCAGTCCGGTTCCTATCCCACCGGCAAGTCAAAATACATTACAACAATTAACAATCACACACCCTTCCTTCCGTCAGGTCGAAGGACCCCTGCGCAGCATTGATTGCTCCACCACGGGAGGATTGACTGTCAGCCTTCCTTGTCCCACTCAGATCCGGAATCCAGATCTGTCAGATAAAGCAATAGACCTTAGAAAGATCACACCTGTTGGCCTTACCCAACCTGGTCCTTCCCATAAGCCACTTCGCCCCCCCTTTCGACAGTCGACAGTTACAATGAATCCTACACCCTCAGTCTGCAATCTTCACGTCAAAACGTCAAAATTGGGTCTTGGCCGGTGCTAGTGAGCTTCCGAATCTCTGAGATGGGATCCTCCTTGGCACCCCCGTATATGCTCCAGAGTTGTCAGACTTGTCATCCTTTTCCACGTCGTCTGCACCCCCTGGGTTATGTTTAACCTCTTGCAGCCTAGGACGTGCTTAAGTCTTCCAGCGACGTCTGATGTTGGGAACCCCTTCCTGGATTGGAATTATGCCATTCTATTACCCGGTCCTGTCGCAGTTCTGCCAATGGTTGTCCTGACATGATAGGCCACCTACCCTACCCATCCCCACGTTAATACTCCCAGCACACCCCCTGTCCCTACTATCCTACCTCAAGTGTGGCCAGCACTCAGGACCATCACCCTACCAGTATTGAGGGCAACTTGGACCAGATAGCAGTGACAAGCATCAGGGCTGAGCCAACCTCCCAGCCCTAATTGAAGTGGAAGCGGACAAACCTTGCCGTACGGGACCTCGGACGCCAGGCTCATGCAATCTTCTACAGGCCCAAATCAGGGAGTCTACCCAACGCTGGCCACCAGGATTACCTAAGCAATGCAGGCCAAAAAATATGTTGTTTATGGTTTTGATTTTTTTTTAAATACACAAAGTTAATAAAAAAAAAAAAAAAAAAAAAGTTGTTGTACATCTTTGAAATATCTACAACCCTATATTTTTTATTTGTTATTTCTGTTTTTGTTTTAGCCCTTAGAAAACCTCTGTGAAACACCCCCAAAACAAATCTTGTCATTTCTTGTTTTTGTTTTTTGTCATTGTGCTTATGTTTTCGTTTTTTTTCATTGTGCTTATGTTTCTGATTTTTTAAAAATATATTCAAAGCTCAAAAAACAAAACCCAGGAAAAAAATTCATTGCGGACCCCGTTTCTCCCCGCCGTCTAACGGGCGTTTGAACAGGGATTCAACGCAAATTCATTGCGCGTTGAAGAATCCAACGCGGAACGCGCATTGAATCCAAAATCGGACACATAGGTTGCCAGCACGGCATCGAGATAGATATCTGACCCCTGCAGGGGGCCCGGTAATCATGATGTCCACGAACAAACGAATCACGTCTCTGAGCCGGCAGTAACAAAAATACATCTCCGCCGAAGAGCCATCTGCAACAGCTGAACTGACAATGGATGCCTCTGCCAATGGGGCCTCTGTAATGGCTGATCTGACCATGAATATGTTAATGATGAGGTCGATGATGAATTGGCGGCATTCAAGGTGGAGAAGGAGAAAGCCGGCCGCAGATGACCGAGGGGATGTGGTAGACAATGTCTGCAGGAGCTGGAGGTGCTGACAGCGATGATGATGGTGGTGCCAGTGACGGTGGTCGTGGTAGCAGTGATAGGGGCGGGAGATGGGGGAGGTAATGTCGGCAGTCGAGGAACACTTTCAGCAGCAGTCGCCGCATTGGTAGGATGCAAGCCTTCATGATCCCATGAACGTTTACATTGTTTCTTGTGGCTGGCCTGGTTTCCAGCTGAGTTCACATATCCACATTATCATCTGCCATTTCAGTAGGAATAACGGAAAAGGGCGGGCCTGCTGCATTTGGCTATGTGAAGGGCTGATAATGACTGTATACTGGAGACCTACTACCCCTATAGTCCATACTTAAGCCACCAGTTCACAAGAGCCTACGTTGCTGAAGCTTCCAAGGCTCACGAGCCTTAGACTGCACCTTCTCAAAGTGGCCTGCCACTTTTGCTACCTGCCCAGGCCCAAAACGAACAGCTCTTTATCACCAAAACGAGCGAGTGTTGTACTCTGATTCGGGCAAACTGGCAGTTTGAAGAGACATGCCGGCATACATGCTAGATACTGCGCAATCCGGAGATCACTTCAAGGAAACTAGTACGAACTCCTCAATAAAACTCTAAATATGCTGGTTACTCCAATACCCCTTCACAGCTTGAACCTATCGAATCTTCTACTCTACTCAATGCTCACACGTCAAAAGGAGACTCACCTCAAGCGCACGAAGCTGTTCCTGGTATTGAGCAATAAGCTGCTTAAGTTGTTGAACCTCCACAGCTCGCTCCTCATGCTCCTGCAAAACACAACAGGCATATACGATAATCGGTTCAGAGATTACAGCATCTGATGTCGAATGCTCGAAAAAAGTTGAGCTGAAAAAGAGGGAAAAAACACTGCACTCCCTTTTCTTTATCTACTTCGGACCAACTCTCGATTGGCAATTTCATCATCTACTCTTTGTCCTGAAAATAGAAGTCTTTCTCTATTTAAACGAATAATTAGGATCAAAAATTTATTGAATTATAGAATTAACATCTTTTTCCCTTTAACCACTAGTACCACGGCCAGTTTTAGTCTGTTCCCAAAGAATTCGCCCAGGGTCAACGTCCCGTAAATCTTAGTTTTCTTTTGCCCATGCGTGAAAGCAAAAGGGGGGGGGGGGAATGCTTTCTGTACTGCAATGATGTCGGGCAGAGTAGTCTAGGAGGCGGTGCTCAGTCTTCCTCTACAGAATGCAGCTGACAGCGAACACGGTCACATACAAGTCGCTATCTTTTTTTTCTCGTATGTTATGAGCCCCCTGCCAACGCGGCAGGGCGGAATCCGTGATCTGCTCAAGCTGTGATTCCTCAGAGGATTGTAACCCAGATCACACTGCCACTTAAGAGGAATGTATCCAGCCATCTTCACGGCCGAATCCGTGTTTCCCTTTTTTTTCCCCTTGTCTTGTGTTTCTGGAATCTGACAATCTGGCCACAGGGCTGAGATGCCCTCACTGAGGGCACATTCACACTACCACCTCCAAGAATGTTTCCTTGCTCCAGTTTTCTTGTGTAGTGAGTTTCACAGCCGCAACTTTTTCTTCTTTTTTTTGGTCTGTTCTTCCCGTGAGAGTACCATGAAGAAAATGGAGTTGGACCCAGGCTCGGCAACTTCTTTTTTTTGGTCTGTTCTTCCCGTGAGAGTACCATGAAGAAAATGGAGTTGGACCCAGGCTCGGCAAAACTCCGAGCACAGTGAAATTCAGGCTGGCAAAAAAAGGCTCAGAGCCTCAGAGGTACTAGTGGTTTAAGAACCCTACTTGTATTTCTCAAAACCTAGGGCTCTAAGAAATAGAAAGAAATAAAATAGAAGTTGATTTATGAAAGTTCAACCAGTTCAATTTGCTTCCTAGGTTCAATAAAAGAAACTCTTCTTTAAGTATTCAAAAAAATATAGGCTACCAGCCAGGCCGCCCAGGTCACCTTGTTCCCCGGGCGGCACGGCCGTGCAGAGAACAAATAATCCCAGCGAAAAAAAAAAACAGAAAATCTGAAAAAAACATGTTATGCGGAAAAATAAACTGAACAACTTCCGCATCAGAGTACCATCAAAATTCTTTACCAAATTTGAACATAAATAAAAACATAAAATAGAATATAATTGTTTTATTTTTATTTTATTATTTTTTGGCCCGGTCGGGCAAGTGGTCCCACGCCACTCTGGTAGCCTAGAAAAATATATATATATCTACTGTATATCGTCAAACAGATATATATCGTCACAAACAGAACTGCCCGGTAAACCGTATATATATATATATATATTGTCAAACAGAACTGCCAGGGAAACCGCCAGCAGAGAGCGAGAAGAGGACAACAAACGAGGGCCTGTGACAAACTGTTTCGTTGGAGTTTCACCGACTCATCAGGAGGCTGAACCCTATATATCGTCAAGACATCGACTATAAAAGACATCGACTATAAAAATACATAGATTATATTCTAATACTATTCATGTAATAATATATCGATTATTCATAAATAATATATACATATGCATGTGTATATTATTTACATAATAGATTTTCGGCACGCATCCCTGGGTTTTCAGAACACTAACTAGTTTGGTCGGACTCAAACTAATAATATGCAAGTGATAGATCCTAACACATTGTCAAATTCACACAACGAGCCAGCAAACCTTCGCAACCATCCCATCAGCCACCCAGGGGTGCATAGCAGCACGCAACATCATTCATATGTCATACATCCAGCCAATACCTGTTGCCTATGGTGCAGTGTCGCAACAGCTCTTTTCAATATGGTGTTGTCCTTCAGAAGAGCCTGAATATGCTCCTTCAGTGACGCGTTCTCCTGAGTGCACACATAATACGCAAAACCATACACCAACCTCTCAATACAACATCAACTTAAACAGAAACCAACCATCGACAACCACTATACAATCAAAATCATCAGCACAACATCATCATACCAAGTGGAAACCCGGACAAACAAGTCCTCTCTCCTCGCTCACAGCCACTGGCTACCTCTCAAGTTCTTCAGATCACTGATCATGCATGCTCCCTGAAAGGGTTTGAAGACAGGGACCTGCTTTCTTCGGATACTGGCATACCACAAAAGCTGAAAGCACAAATTTGAGGTAGATCTGCTTTGCAAGCATCATTCCACTGCTTACGACAAGCAACATGAATCAGGGCACACCAGAGCGAGTGCACATACAACTTCGCAACCCAAACGTAATGTCAGCGTACAGCTTCCTCAGACGTGCTTCGCCCCTCACGCACAAACAGCACAAACACCGCTCAATCAATCCCTACGCATGGAACAAAAAGTCTACATCTCCTCCCGACCGTTTCTGTCTCCTCCCGACCGTTTCTGATGGGTCTAAGATCACCATGCACTGCATTAGCAACACTTTGGATGACAAGACATGAGGATAGAACAGCCATATTCTTACAAAAAGACACCCTAACTTTCCTTCACTTTCCTTCAAGCTGACCGCAGTTAAGGTTCAAGAGTTGCAATGATCCATCCCAAGCAAATACATCCCTCAACCTCTAGCCAGAGAATATGAGCTCGTACTTCACGTTTGTGCTCTGACACTGTCATTCCACATACCTTCTCAAGAGCAGCCGCTCCACCCCGCTCCCTCACAAGCCTCTCAAAGCCCTCCAGGATCCTTGCAACACGTGATCTTGCATCCTGTATGTTTGTTGCTGCATACATCTCCCGCACGATCACTTCCACCCATTCCATTCCCTCTGGAACATTGGCCGTACTAGCATCATTTGCAGACGACGGCCCAGCTTCAGCTTCCGAATTTCCGTTCTCTGTGTGCGCACAAGAGCTCAACTGCGGCTGAGTTGCTTCTTCTAAACGCAGCAACACATCAAGAAATGACACATCAGAGAGTAAATACGCAACGAACAACCTCGACAACCACATCCTCCACTTCAACCACATGCTCCGATTCAGAGAAAATTAGAGCCCTCAATATCCAATGACCACCAATCGCTTCCACACAATCCTCCAGAAATCCACGTTCTCCATAACAGAGCAAATTAGAGACTCAAGGTAGCAAAACATGGGAATCAGCCTCAAACAGGGCAAGGCCTTCCCCACAGTCTTTAGCATTTGACATTATTCCTCACCTGTTTACTCCTAGACAATCCTCAGAAATCCATATACTCTTCATACCAGAGCAAAACAGAGACTCAAGGTTCAGACTTCGCTTAGCAAAACATGGGAATCACCTTTGGACAAGGCAAGGTCTTCCCAACCAACAGCCTCGAGGACTAAACTTATTCCTCACGTGTTGGCGGCCCGCAAAAGCACAGACACAATGCCAGTGCACACACCTCCAGATGGGCACCTGGCACACACCTGCCAACTGAGAAGCAAGACCCTAGACATCAGCGACTACATGCCAAGAGAACAGAATTATATCAACCACAGAGGCGCAGTCACGATAAATTGACCCGATACCGTATTTACAAATGTTTACAAAAATTACCGAGTCTACTGCTACTCCACCGTAGTCCGGCACTGCCAAGGCAGCCATTGATCACAAGTCAGAAGGGGAAGAAGTTTCTATGGATGACTCCAGGCCATGCATGCCCGCCTGTATGCGCAGGCCAGTGCAACACCGGCAGGCAAAAGTAATGACTATTCCTTTCCCTTTTTTGATTCATCCTCTTGCTGACTTATAAGAGCCCGGCCTGGGGTTAATAAAAAAAAAAAACGCGAGGAAAGCCTATGGACAGCACAGAAACCCACCTGCAAGAACGCCAAGCAGGACAAAACACATGGCAAAGATACCAACGATCACATTGTAAAAGTCTCACAGACAACAGCAACGAAGACAAACTGAAGGATGACAAGGTAGACAGGGGGAAAAAACCCGAGCACACAGGAAGTGCAAAGAGGTAGACATGGAAAGAACCAGATGCAAGAAAATGACAGTGCACCGAAATATTCTCATAAGTTAATAGCGGACGAACAGGATAAAGCCAACAAGGACACGGGCTGAGCAGCGGCAGAACAGGCGTAACACGAAAGAAGACCACGATCTCCCAAAGGACAGAGGTTGAACCACCCGTACAACAGCAGGGGCACTGTAGTTGAGTACAGGGCCAAAATCTAAATGCCAAGGCCCAGTAGACGTTCGGTGGGGGTGGGCTGGTGCGCCTACAAAAAAATAAATGAAGTTCCACAATTGTCACACAGATTGCTGGTAGCGGTACCATCTTAAGCAAGCCAATTCGCAGCACCGGTCAAAATCAGGTTCGGCAAAATGCATCGGATGGACTGGTGGCTTAAAAGGAAAGAAGACCATGATCTCACACCAAACTCAGGGCATCACAACAACAGCACACACAGAGATGCTCATACGCAACAAAGAAGTTCACAAACAGGTCACGCCAACGACGACACAGCCTGCGCAGGAGTAGAAAGGCTAAAGAAGAGCGCGCGATCCCACATCAAATGCAGGGCATCAAGGCAATGCAGGCGCAAAAGAGGAGACGTCGAACACGAGCGCCATCAGCAAAATAGATTCCAAGGTCACACCAACTACCACACACCTCCTGCACCTTTTTTGTTAAAAAGAAACAAGGCACCAAGCCTTAGATCTCCCCCCCAAGAATAGAAGGGGCTTGGGTGTTCCTAAAAACCAAAAAAAGACGTGAAGAGTTCACACAAGGGATGTACACCACAGGTGCTACCCATACCGAGCATGAGCACGAATTAGGGCATACCCCAGCGAAAAGACAATCGAAAGCCTTCCAAGTGCGTACCTTACAGGTGATAGAAAAGTTCCGTTTCATCATGATACACACAGCATCGGTTCATCATACAATAATCAGATCATCCATAGAACGAAAGACAGTAAAAGAAGAGACCATAGATTTTCATCATGATACACACAACATCGGTCCATCATACAATAATCAGATCATCCATAGAACGAAAGACATAATAAAAGAAGAGAGACCATACATAAATCTCATCACTACTTACCGACTGTTGGAGCGGCTTGAGCTCCTGCTGGTGACCTTGCTGAAGAAGGGCTAGAACTCACGCCAGCGGATACAGCGCCATCCTGATCCGCGGTTTCATTCGGACGTAGCTTCAACTCGGTCAGGCTCCGAATAGCCGAATCAAGGTCATTGCCCGAAGACTCCAGTATTCTCTCGATTAACTGAGACCACATCATCATAAAACACGAGAGCAAATGAACGTCAACTTCAGATAGACAGGACACTATTTGGCGGCGCAACCACGTACACTGTCCACAGCTCCAACGAACTCATGAAAATCATTCCAACAGAAGATGGACAAGCACTGGGTACTAAATGACTCCATGATGACAATCGAAATAATAGTAAAATAACTATACTAATTAAATCATTCCGATACAACACTACCGAGTACTGGGTACTACACGACTCCGTTCGTGCTGAAAACTTGAAATAAAAGCAAAACACTAAGCTAATAACGAGTAGCATAAGCAAAGATGAATTACTAGGCGACGCGACAATCATTCCTGAGAGCTCTCAGAAACATTCTCGACAAATCCACACACTTTTTTCTTTTTTTAAACGCCCAGGTTTTGTAGAGGCAGGGAGGGTATCAGGCGCGGGAGTTCTCTCCGGGGATCAGTCACTGCAAGTTCAGAATGCGCCAAGTCCCACTTCGCCCACTGGACCTTCCTAGACGGAGTCCTCCACGGGCTTAGACCCCTAAGTCCTATCGCAAGTCGTATGCTCTCTCTCTCTCTCTCTCTCTCTCTCTCTCTCTCTCTCTCTCTCTCTCTCTCACTCGCTCTCTCTCTCACTCGCTCTCTCTCTCGCACAAATAAATACCCACATTGGGAGAAAGACATCGTTCGTTACCTGCCGAAATCTCCCTCGCTACGTGACATGCATACCCGAATACGTAAAACATTCAAATTACAAACCAATGATACCACCACCTATCTTCCAGACAGCCGCTTTGAATACAGTTCGACAGCATAGACGCACCACCAGTAATCCAGCACACGCACCCTTTGCATTCTGAGTGCACTCCAGTTAATCAGAACCAAAACATGAATCAGCTGTTCTCTTGACAGGAATCCAAGAATTGACAGGAATCCAAGAATCACGGACGCAGCTGATTACAACTCAAATCCACATCCACAAGTACGCCATTCGCTCTTCTGAGTCAACTTTTTAGACAAACGCTTGCACGAAGCGGAGGGAAGCGGCCGCAAGCCAGACTTCATCCAGACGAAATCATTGAGAACAAAAAGCTCCACTCGCAATATGCTCTCGCAATATGCTCCACTATTCGTTAGCGGGCGAGTAAAATAACAACACGATATCATTTGCTCCGTTTCCGACCGTTCAATAGATTGCCTTTGAGAGCTGATTACCGAACTGGTATTCCGTCCGCTCCCCCGAACAAGAAACTCATCATGCACCCCTTTCGATCGTTTCTACATGTGCAGCCACCAGACCCGGCGGTGCAGCCACCAGACCCAGCGGCAAACCCCTACTGCCACCGATATGATATCACAACGAAACCAACAGATGCGACAGTACACCACTCAGCTGACATGCGTCACGCTTGCAGAGACTCAGGACCTCAGCCCAACACACACCAGATGTCAACGCTCTGATCGTATCAAGACAACTTAAATGTTCAGACTCGTTCAGAATGTTGGCGTTTGACAACTGGTGCGGCGAGGCCCTCGTCGCCTTGACCAACCAAACGCGCACGCAGTCCAAACCTTACCCCTCTTCCAGTCACCAGCTTCGTTTTCTGTTTTGTGGCACATGTTATTTTGACCAACCACGATCGTTTAGGGTAGCTACCTTCTTCCCCCGAATACAACATACGTTATAGCTGTATTTGAGGTATCTTTCAGTCTAGATACAGCTATAATGACCGTACGTTGTATTCGGGGGAAGAAGGTAGCTATACCACCCACAATGAGGTCTACAGCTATTCGAGGGGGAAATGAGAAGGCGAAAACGCCACCGCATTGGGGCGCGATTTTTCCAAATGGTACAGTCCTTTTCGGACAAAGAGTCACTGGCGCGATTTACATACTTCCTCACAGTTTCCCCCTCAGATTCCTTGTTCTACGTTTATGTGCTTTCGTGTGACACGTTTCCCGGCGCCTTCACAGTGCTGACCATCCCCGCCGTTTTCTTTGACAGTAACCGTTCATTTTCCCTGACAAACTCTCACTGACATATTTATTAATGAACCGATACACCTTTATTACTCATCACGCCTTTTTGTGATACTACAGCGAGAGCAACCATAATCCCATGACAAAGTCTTAAGCAGTATCCAGAGAGAGAGAGAGAGGGATACAGAGCGGTAATGAACCGATACACCTTTATTACTCATCAGCGCCGTTTTGTCATACTACAGCGAAAGCAACCATAATCCCATGACAAAGTCTTAGTATCCACACAGAGCGAGAGAGAGAGGGATACAGAGCGGTAATGAACCGATACACCTTTATTACTCATCAGCGCCTTTTTGTGATACTACGCGAAAGCAACCATAATCCCACGACAAAGCCTTAGGCAGTATCCACATGGAGAGAGAGAGAGAGAGTGCGGTACGTGCTACTACAGAAACGAGAGCGAGAGATATAGAAAGAGAGAACAGTGCCGCGCAAACAAACGACAATAAAAGAAACAACTCGAAACTGAAGAACGAAGTGCAGAGGGAGGGCTACGGCAAGGTAAACCTGTCACCTGAGAGACAGGAACATCGTCGCAAACAGACAACAATAAAAGAAACAATTCGGAATAACTGAAGCGGCAGCAGAGACACGTCCTCCCCGGAAACACAACACACCCTCATCACCTGTAAAATTCCCTTTTACCGCTGGGCTAGAAGACTGACAAAGCGCATCGAAGAAGCCGGGACCACCACTTAGTACCGTCCTCCCTCGAACACAACACACCCTCATCATGAACGCATAGTGTTTTCGGTTCGGTACAGTCACGATGGGCGTGCGTTTTCTTTCACCAACTCATCTTCGACATTGGACTCCACACAACTCTCTGCGCATCTTCGAGAGACAGGAGGACTTTGCTATGCTTGAAATGGTTAAACCATCTGAGTCATGATCTGACTGATACTCGGGGTCATCAATCTGACCTACCGTAAATTTCAACCGGATATCTAATGCGCTCCTTCCTATTCACATTAGGCAGTAGAGTACCCACTCCCTAGTCCTCTCTTGCGTACGTTCCCCCCTTTCCCTTCAAGGGACACAAAGCGTCGATGTCGTCGTCACAATCCCAAATAATGGAAGACTCGTGTGCCGAGACAAGCCGTCTAATCAAGATCTCGCCTGTCCCCACCCGCCGCAGTGTAAACTTACGAAAATGAGCGAGAAGGAAGCTCCCCGAGAGAGCTGAGATCAGGACATTCTCGATTGCCATATCAATCGACCTTCGCCCCGACTGCTCTCTCCCTATGCTTCTTCCCTCGATTTCCCTCGATTCGACTGTTCCCGTCCCTTTTCTTCTCTCCTCATATCAGACTTCTCTCCCTCTTCTTCCCTCCTCCGTATCCCCGCCCTCAACTATCCAGCTTGAGCAAACTGCTCTCTCCCTCTTCTTCCCCTCTACGACGGACTCCGCACTCCTCTCATACCACCCCTTCGATTCCATGCTTTCATCTTTCCTCTTTTCAAAACCGCGACCTCATTGCCCAATCTTCTCGTATGTTCTGCCTCCCCCCATATACTACCTACTCACTTCAACCATCCACCTCTTATTTCCTCCGCTTTTCGTGACACGATCTCGCCTCCTTTCCTTCCCTTTGACACCCCCACCCCATTGAAGAAAGAATTTCACCTTTCCCTCCTCTTGTTCCATCGCCGGTCAACTACCTTTTAACTCTTTTCCCGTCTCTTTCAATAACACCCTTCACGTGCTACGTTCTACCACCGGTAAAACTCGCCTATATTCGTTTCCCTGTTCGGCCCATCTTCACTGAAATGCTCTCCTGCCATACCTTCAAATTTTAGGTCTCCTGTCTCCTACATCGCTTCTCCCTAACTCATCTGGAAGTCATTTCTAGATTCCTGTTCAACGAAACTTAATCTGTTTTCCCGCCTCCCTTCCCGCCTTTTCCCCCGTTAAACTCACTCACATTTCCCGCCATCCTTCCTCTGAAGTGCCTTCGACTCTTACTTTACTCTTTTCTTCCCGTCGCTTTCGTCCGAGTGCGTTCATCGACCTTCGACTTCCCCTCCCTCCATTCTACGTCCCATCCATCCACAGTTCCTGCTGGCTGCCGGAATCTTCTCCCTTGCTCTACCTCATTGTCCCACCTCTCGTCACCACTCTCCTTACCCGCCTCTGCGTGTCCTCCGCGCCTGTCCATCTCCTTATCCTCATCCTTCCCCTCTTACTTATTCACCCACATCTCTTCCCACTTCCTAATTTACCCCCAATCCAAACTCGTCTTAGTCCGCACAGTTTCTTTTCAGTCCTTTACCCTCCTTTCTCATCACTCCACCAGCTTCCCAACATATCTCACCCGCTTCCCATTCCTCCTTTCCACCTCACCTTCCCAACACGTACGCCCTCTTCCAGTTCATTTCTCTTTCCTTTCAGATTGACCTTCAGCATTACTCCAACCTCTTCCATTTTCACCCTCTTGAATTCCCAATTCCCTGCTCCTCTCCCGCCATCCTCCCCTTCTCTCCCTCTGCCTCATTTCCCGCCACTTCCTCTCCCACCTTTCGCACCTCCTCTCCTGTCTCAGTTTCTCCCCTTTCCATTCCTCCTTTCCACCTCACGTTTCCCAACACGTACGCCGTCTTCCAGTTCATTTTCTCTTCTTTTCCAGATTAAGCTTCGCAATGCCATTCAAATTTCAGCATTACTCCAACCTCTTCCATTTTCATGGTCTCTTGAATTCCCAATTCTCTGTCCCTTGTGTTCCTCTGCCTCGTTTCCAGCCACTTCCTCTCCCACCTTTCCCCTTCTTTCTCCCTCCATCCGTCGCATCCTCACCCGGCTTCAACTCTGTTTCTTTCCCGCCATCCTCCCCTTCTGTCCCTCTACCATCCCGCCACTTCCTCTCCCACCTTTCCCCTTCTTTTTCCCTCCATCCGTCGCATCCTCCCCCGGCTTCCACTCTGTTTCTTTCCCGCCATCCTCCCCTTCTGTCCCTCTGCCTCGTTTCCCGCCACTTCATCTCCCACCTTTCCCCTTATTTTTCCCTCCATCCGTCGCATCCTCCCCCGGCTTCCACTCTGTTTCTTTCCCGCCATCCTCCCCTTTGTCCCTCTGCCTCGTTTCCCGCCGCTTCCTCTCCCACCTTTCCCCTTCTTCCCTCTATCCGTCGCATCCTCCTCCGGCTTCCACGTCTGCGACACCCGCCCTGATCCCCTAGGCTGCTGTTCCCGCCTCACCTGCTGACTTCCTGCCTCCTTTCCCGCCGCTTCCTCTCCCACCTTTCCCCTTCTTGCCTCTATCCGTCGCATCCTCCCCCGGCTTCCACGTCTGCGACACCCGCCCTGATCCCCTAGGCTGCTGTTCCCGCCTCACCTGCTGTCTTCCTGCCTCGGTCGCCTCGTGCACGCTGTTCCCGCCTCACCTGCTGACTTCCTACCTCGGTCGCCTCATGCACGTGCCATACCACATCCTCAATAAATTTCTCCCATCTCCTATTTAGACCCTTCTACCAAACACGCATAATAGCAGCCTCTCTCGCCTTTCCTCAATCGGCTACACATCTTCAACTTCCTAGTGCGCTGCGGAAGAAACCCCTCGCGCAAGAGGCCGTCTAACATACCAAATCCACGACTCTTCCGCTCACTACACTTCTCACAATCTCGTTTACATGATCGGAGATTGCATGCACACTACAGACGGAGCTCCTGCACTTTCCAGAAAGCTCACTCACTATACATCTTTTCCGACGGCGGCCCATGGCCCACGGTCGAAATCATGCTAGGTCAAGAGCATGAGGATACAACGCATGCCTGAATCGTTCATGCCCAGTGGCTCAACAGCACGAGGACACGATGCATGACTAAGTGCAAAGGACTATTGCACGCTTTCGTATGCACACCACGGCCCGAGCTCCTGCGATTCGCAGGAAACTCACTCATTTCCACATCTTCAGACGACGGTCCAAGGCCGAAAGTCAGAGCATAAGGACAATGCATGACTTCATCTTACTCGCCCGATGGCTGAGGGCTAATAAGCAATCTCGCCGCAATGTTGTTTGGCGGGAAAGACGCGCGTGTCACATAAGCAATCTCGCCACAATGTTGTTTGGTGGGAAAGACGCGCGTGTCATATAAGCAATCTCGCCACAATGTTGTTTGGCGGGAAAGACGCGCGTGTGAAATAAGCGATCTCGCCACAATGTTGTTTGGCGGGAAAGACGCGCGTGTGAAATAAGCAATCTCGCCACAATGTTGTTTGGCGGGAAAGACGCGCGTGTGAAGGGTGTCGTTCATCTCTCTCTAAAGTCACCGTCAGTACAATACGAGCGTCACCAAGTACAAAAGCAGACACATTGTCGTTAAAATTCAAACGATACAGAAAAGACGTGCATGGCCTTGCACAAAGACGACACCGCATAAGTCGGGAGATGATACAAATTACTGATAAAGAGAAAGAAAAAAAGGAGCAATTTTGGGGAAAGATAAATATAGCAGTGTGTGCATTTCCAAAAGATAGCGTGCGAAATGTACATACGATACACGATATACCTTTACGGAACGTGCAAGACCAACCGTACACATGACGTACGAGATTTACATAGGTCGTACGTCAGACCGAGGGAGGAAAACACTTACCTGCTGTTCCATATCAGGGAAGAAGGACCGGAGTTGGAGAAGGTTGTCCTCGAATGACGGCGACCGAGAGGGAGAAGTTGCCGTCCCCGCCCCACCAGCGCCGGCAAAATAGCCAGTCCGGAGGGGCGGGGGCGAGCTCGCAAATCTTGAAGGCGACCCTCCGCACCGTAACCTCTTCGCGACGGTTGGCGGCGAGCCGTGCAAGTCCTCAAAGTAGGAACGCTTCCCACAAACCACGGCAGACATATTATCAGTGCGAATAAGCCTCCAGAGATCGAAGAGAGCGCGCGGTCAGCGCTGCCCCCCCTTCGCCTGCCAAAGCCCGCTTCCACCTTCTCCCCTCGCAACCTAACCCACCACCTCCGATTCCAGTGCTCTCTCTCTCTCTCTCTCTCTCTCTCTCTCTCTCTCTCTCTCTCTCTCTCTCTCTCTCTCTCTCTCTCTCTCTCTCTCTCGGGCGCGCGCGCGCGCTCGCTCGCTCGCTCGCTCGCTTACGCACACATACACACACAGATACGCAACAGAGACTGCGCAACACAAGCCGCAAGTCACCAGATACCTCCTCCTGCTTCCGCTTCTTCCCCCTCTACTTCCCGGCCCACAGCAACACTCCTGCAAGGACGTTCCGCCGCGCTCACACAACCCTCTTCAGCACCTTGCATGCTACCAAATGAAATCCAGCTTGTGTGCAGTTCCGCCACTCTTCTACGCGCATCGTGAGTGCTGTCCGTCTGATTCTCCTTTCACGAGATGGCCACGTGTTGCCTATGACAAGCTACGAGCGAGAGCCACGTCACTGGGAGATTCTTCACGTTCCTCCTGGCGGAACGGCACAGAGAAGGACAGCTCTCACGTCTTCCTGCTCAGTTTGTCCCCTCCTATCGTCTCATACACATCCACAGAGACGGCGCACGAGCTCCTCAAGCGCCGACGCACGTTACGTCCTTGGCACAGCGAGCGAGCGAGCGTGTCCTTGTCTGTCGATTTCGTCCAGGCAGAGCGAGCGAGCGAGTCTTTGTCTATCGATTTCGTGCAGGCAGAGTAAGCGAGCGAGTGAGATCAACAGCGAACACGCAGGAGACGCAGCGTAGCAACTGGACGGTAAGGAGATACTTCCTCATTCCGCCCCAAGGGGGTCACACGCAAAAAGGCTACGGGTCGCGCCAGTTTCCCCAACCATCTCCCCTTCGCCTCCCCGCAGAACAAGTATGACCTGCGCGGACTGTTCAACGGCAGACCTGATGCATCATCTGCCCTTGGAAAACCAACCAAACACGCTCGTTCGATGAGACAGCTTCGCTGCTGGGATTAGCAGAAGAGCATACGGCGGCTTGACCCCTTCACTTACAAACCCTAGAAGCATATCACACCACAACCAGCAGCATTGTAACTGAAGGTCTAGCTCAATCACCGTAGACGAGGAGAAAGTTACCCCGGCGCGCTGCTGCTACTCGTCTTCTCCAGGCCAGCGGCATACAGACCCACAAAAGGACCCCGTGGTCGGCGCTCCGCGCCGCCCCATCTCCCTCATACAAGCCAAGGAACAGTCAGCAGTTCCGTCAACCCCATCATTCAATTCAATGCACAATTACACGGCTGCGCTGCTCACTCGTCTAGCCAACCCTCCGTCCCTGCCTCCTCACCCTCCACGCCACCCCCTCTGAGCGGTTGGCTGTGGTAGCCAGCAGTCTGTGATGTCTGTCTGTCTTCTCTGTCTGTGTTGTGTCCTTCCCTTGCTTCGGGTAGCGTTGCCTGGTGTTGCCTGAGCTTGCTGTCCGCCTGACTCACAACGGGCACCTAACAGGCCGTCGACAGTCTACAGACGGCGGGCAAGGCACTCCGAGATTACGAGTCCATAAGCGCCCCCCCCCGCCGGCCCGTCACGCCAGGCTGCCGCTCCCCACACTCGCGAGGCGGGGTGCACCAGGGCTTACTGGCTGGTAGGTGTGCGTGGAGGCGGGGAAACTCCGGTAGGGATTGGTTGGTCTGCTTCCTCCAGTCCGACAGCCTGCCAGCCCGCCACAACCCCCGCCTCAACTCCGCCGCACTTGATCGCTTCACGGCGCGGGGGCGGGGGCGGGGGCGGGGGCGGGCGCGGGGGCGGGCGCGGGCGCCAGCCGAGCGCTCAACCCCTAGCCCAAAGCCACGCGCTTGCTGAACCGCTGCACAGGAGCCCTACAGCTGACAGAGGAGAGAGCGGCCTTTCCACACCCAGAAACTGCGGTATTCCAGAATTTACCTGCTCCAATGCCGTGCAGACCAACGGCGGTTTTCCGAAGATGAAATTGAAATAATGGCGTCGGTTTGAATTTTCATATGGCGTCGCGGCGCACCAGGGTACCTGAAGTCGGATGGAGCGCGCCACGCCGAGCCTACCGTAGCGCGTGGCTGCACAGCAGCGATGCACATCGGAGGCGCGCAACGACAGCGCGACGGGGAGCGCAACGGCTGCGCAAATCTTTGGCGGCACCAACTGGCCTAAGCTCAGTTGGTGCACACCTGAACTGTTGAAATACGGACCGGTGTTCGAATTCCACTGGAAGCAGAAATTCACAGCCCTCACGGCTGCGGTATGGTGCAGTCCGGCGTCTGTTCGCAGCCCATCAGGGGCGCGTTTTTTTTTTTTTTTTTTTTACCTTTCCCGCGTGGGAAAATAGGGAAAACTGGCTGTTTTCCCAATCGCCTGAATTTTCGGAGGTCGCACCCGACGACGACTGCCATTGATAAGGGCCTCATCCCTCACGGTAAGTAAAGGTCCGAGAGATACCTAAAAGCCGGGTCCGCAGGTTTCGCATTCGGTAAGTAAAATGGCACTCCACTGTCCCGACATTGAAGGGAATTTTACGTGAGTGGCGGCGGCCTTTGTTGGCCGTTCTGGCCACGGACGAACCAGGCCCGGCAACGGACAAAAVAATTAAAAAAAAAAAAAAAAAAAAAACTTACGGTAAGTTCGCGTAACGGTAAGGGTCCGTCTATTTTACGAAAACGGAAAACGGAGCTCCCGAAGTTCCCTCCACGTCGTGAACCGTTTTCACATGCCTCCGTTCACCGCGGACGCCCCAGGGTTCAAGGAAACTGGTGGGATACCAAAAAAATGCATTTTTTACTTACCGTGAGTATGGTGGGATGAGGCCCTAAATCTGATCGGCGGTGGTCGTTTCGTTTCGGCCTCCGAAAAGGTCGGTGGCCCACCGGAGGCCCGCTATTTTCCCACGCGCCAAAGGTACTAGTGGTTTAACAAAAAATCACTTTCATTATACCAGACAATACTTGCTGTTCCTTTTGCACCTTTTTTTTTTTATATATAGTCGGGGCATGTTTTATTCGCAGCCCTAAGGCTGCGGTCTAGTGGGGTCCGGCGTCTGTGTCAAGGTGTCCCATTTTCAGCCGCAGGCGACCAGGACGCAGAGTGGGTTGTTAGGGGGGGGGGAAATTTGGGGGACCAGTCCTTGACAAAATTGAGGACTACCTATTGACTTACCGTGACGGCACGGTGTCGAGCGCATCAGCCCCCGCGCGAGCGAAGGCCCTCCCGGCCGCGTCACGCAGGAGAAACTTAGTCTTTCAACTTTTTAGAGACAACTCGGGGACGACACGGTAACCCGCATCAACCCTTCGCCGCTCCGGCCGAGTGCACCAGTTGTACATCCCACGGTCCCCTACGACAGGATAGGTTATCGCGGGGCACAACTTACCTTCCCTAAGGGGTTGTCATCACCCTTAGGGGCGTATCCCTACCGAGCTACCGACCCACATGCGAAGGCTTTTATAATGCAATTGCAGAGGTAGGCCGACCGAGGGCGTTTGCTCGTTCGCTATAGCATAGGTACGCATGGTTAAACGCCAAAGTGGACCCGAACGTTGCCCGTCCCTGGGGCGCTGATCTCCCAGGAATCGGACCGACGTTGGTCGACTAGGACGTGATATTCCAAACGTGAGAAAATCTCGATCGATCCTAGTCCCTTCTTTCGAAGACAATTAAAAGTTACAAAATACTCGTGTCGACGTAAGTTGAATTATTTTCTGAAATTGATACACTTATACATATCACTCGTTTGGGCTGTCACGACTTTTTCAATTTGATAAGGTGCGTTGCCAAGTTTTTTCATTCCACCCCATATCGACTGCTAGACAAGGACGCAAACAACTCTCACTACTCGATTAAAGGTAGGGTGCCATCGCACCAGTGATGACTATGTTTCCACTCTAACTTTGGTGTGAATGTCATTTGCAAGTAGTCCGGCTACCATTATACGAGTCATACTCAACTTGAACGGACGACCGTTGAATGCCTCATTAAGGTCAAGGATCCATTTTCAATTTTTGTTGGTCCCTTTGCCCTCCTGAACAATGATTACTTTTTCTGTCTTACGAATGATGAAATATCAGTCTGCGATATCAAGTTATTCAAGGCATTGCTTTAGTTACGTTATTTCCGTCAACTAGTCTGATCGTCCCAGACTTTCACTTCTTATGGCACAACCCTATCCGCGAAGGTAGTGCCTAGTCGCACTCCGTCCATGGCTAGTGATCGCACAAACTGGGTTTCTTATGACGCCAACTCCTCACTCATTTGTGGCTCCTAAGACGACCACTAGAAGGGTAAACTATAGCGGTTCTTCTTAACGTGAGCCGTCAATAACTTAACACCTTCCGTGAATAACACACATCCATCCCCTAAGAGGTGGTCTGGGATACCCCTCGTCATCGCCCGAGCGAACCTCGGATCTCAAAAGTCGGGTTGGCTCCACCACGACAGCATGGTATCCCCCCGCCTAAGCGGTCCACTCCGAGTCGTTAACAGGGTCGGCCCCAAAGGCAACGAACCCCCTCCCCAGATGCCTCCTAGGGAAAAAAAATGCGCTTACCACAGCAAATGGTCAGCCCCTTTATCGCCTAACATCAAGGGCGAACCTAGACGACGAAGGGGATCACAGAGAAGAAAAAAATATTCAGATGGAAGGGCACAGATAAAGAGGGTCATTCGGGAAATAATGGGTAACCTCGGGAAAATTCTATGTCCAATTTACTTCGTCTCCTTTGTGTGATCGCTTCATTTCTCGTCACCTGCTGTCTTCCCATCCCTTCAGCATGCATACAAGTGAGTGACAAAAAAAACAATCATCATCCCTTCGTTTTTGCTGACGCGATCAGATCTCCCCCCCTTTCCTTTTTCTTTTTCAGACACTCTTCTACTTACCTGCACATCAGATCAAACAAACAATTAAAAAAAAAAAAAAACAATGCAGACCCACTTTCAAGTCAGACTCTCACTCACACGTGCATGCGCACATCTCCTCTACCTTTTCAATGAACGTTCAAAGAACAAGGTCAAACAAGTGTGGATTCACACAGGTGTGAAGGGGATTGAGTCAGGCTAACTGACCTTGAGTGAAGCTGAACCAAAGATAGCAAACGGCCCACTCAAGAAAGCCGTATAATCCTCACTTCAAATGAGAAGATCGCCGCAGTAAGCTGTCAGAAAAGTGATCCACGCCTCTCCCTCAACTGGATCGCCCACTGACACACAATCCCTTCAGTGTCTCAGGGTTGTCACCACTTGCGACCAGTACCACTATGCCACCACTGTGTCGAGGCGTTGGCGCCGCAATATGCGGACAGCACAACGTCATCACCACCTCAAAGCACACCCCCTATTAGCGACACTTCTCATAATTGTCGTTGCTGCCATAAGAACCGGACAACACTTTCACTCCATTGCAAAAAAAACACCGCTGCTACCGCAAAATTTTTGCAGCGCTTCCGCGTCACCGCCGAAAAAAACAGCTGCCGCCGCAAAACTTCGGCAGCGCTTCCGCATCACCGCTGAAGAAGCATAGCTGCCGCCGCAAAATTTCGACAGCGCTTCCGTGTCACCATCGAAAAAAAACAGTTGTCGTCGCTGTGCTGAACGAACAACACCTCCCTTGCGCTCCACCAAGTGCAGCGACAGCTATGGCAGCCCTCACTCTCATGCTTCCTGAAGACCTCCAGCACTTCTCTCTCTCTCTTCACCTCGCAAAGATGACGGCTATGGCTGTGTTCCACAGCTATGGCCACTTCCAGCAGTTCTCCTCCCTCACTTGCAGTCCTCCACCAGCAGCACCGCCTCACAGCAGCGGCCAGCCAGCATTCACTCAAGTGAATGCCTCAGCAGCATTGCCACAACTTATGAGGCTGCTGGGTGGAATGCTGGCTTTAAGAGCCAGCTGAGAGCATGTGGGCAGTTGCTTTGCCCACAGCCAAAACTCGGAATGAGGCCTGGCCCTTGATCTCATACGAGATCAAGGGTTAAGAAACTTGATGTTCCCCTAGGGGAACCAAACTCCTGGCCTTGGCAATGCATCTGACCGCCACCCCCGGACAGGCGCAGCCCCAACTGGTTGTACAGAGCCAGGTACAACAGACTGTTGAAGTTCAACAGTTTGCAGTCACCTCAGGATCCAGATGCTTCTACTGCTGCATCTGGTCCTGCATCGTGAATAATTTTGCGACTCCCCCCTATTTTTTTCCCAACTTTTTTTTTTTTTTTTTTTTTTTTTTCCCTTTTCCCTACCCCCTCGTTTTTCTAAAGCAGGGGCAGCTCGTCGTTTGAAAAACGACCGAGCGCTCCCCCAAGTCATTTCACAGAGTCGATTTAGAGTCAAGCTCAACAGGGTCTTCTTTTCCCGTTTGCCCTGTGCCCGTACCCGGACGCTTTCGGCGCCAGGTTCGGGCGCGCCGGCAAACGCTGCAGCTCGTTCCACATCCAACGAGCACAGGTAGGCTGGTGTGTCTCTCTCTCTCTTTGAACTTAGCCGCTTAG